CCGGCTTCACGGTTTGCCGGGCAGCCTCCAGACCCTGCGCCCCCGGCTGGGCGCTTCCCCTCCCGGGCTCCAGCTGTGCTGGGGAAGCGCCGGCCGGGGGCGCAGGGTCTGGGGGCTGTCCGGCAAACCCTGAAGCCGGTAGCACTGGGGCAGCCCTTTCCCCCTGGCTGGGAGTGGAAGGGAGGAGGGGGCGGAGTTAGGGTGGGGAAGGGGCGGAGTTGGGGCGGGGCTAGGGGTGGGGAAATGGGCGGGGCCAGGGCCCGTGGAGGGTCCTCTTTTTTTATTTATGAGATATGGTAACCCTATTACAGGCTGGTAAGCCTAATTTCAGAACCAAATTTGTTGAAACTATAGTAAAGAACAGAATTATCAGACACGTAGATGAACACGATTTGTTGGGGAAGAGTCAACATGGTTTGTGTAAAGGGAAATCATGCCTCACCAATCTACTTGAATTCTTTGAGGGGGTCAACAAGCATGTGGACAAGGGTGATCCAGTGGACATAGTGTACTTAGATTTTCAGAAAGCCTTTGATAAGGTCCTTCACCAAAGGTTCTTAAGCAAAGTAAACTGTCATGGGATAGGAAGGAAGGTCCTCTCATGGATCAGTAACCGGTTAAAAGATAGGAAACAAAGGGTAGGAATAAATTATCAATTTTCAGAATGGAGAGATGTAAATAGTGGTGTCCCCCAGGAGTCTGAACTGGGACCTGTACTGGAAACAGTACTTTTCAACATGTTCATAAATGATCTGGAAAACGGAGTAAACACTAGTGAAGTGACAAAATTTTCAGATGATACAAAACTAATCAAGAGAGTTAAGTCCCAAGCAGACTGCAAAGATCCCTTTCTCACAAAACTGGGTGACCGGACAACAAAATGGCAGATGAAATCCAGTGTTGATACATGAAAAGTAATGCACATTGGAAAGCATAATCCCAACTATACATATGAAATGATGGGGTCTAAATTTGATGTTACCACTCAAGAAAGAGATCTTGGAGTCATTGCGGATAGTTCTCTGAAAACATCCACTCAATGTGCAGCTGCAGTCAAAGAAGCCAACAGAATGTTGGGAATCATTAGGAAAGGGATCGATAATAAGATAAGATAATCGATAATATTATATTGCCTCTATATAAACCCATGGTACGCCCACATCTTGAATACTGCATGCAGATGTGGTCACCCCATCTCAAAAAAGATATATTGAAATTGGAAAAGGTTCAGAAAAGGACAACAAAAATTATTAGGGGTATGGAACAGCTTCCATATGAGGAGAGATTAATGAGAATGGGAATTTTCAGCTTGGAAAAGAGATGACTAAGGAGGATATGATAGAGGTCTATAAAATCATGACTGGTGTGGAGAGGGTAAATAAGGAAGGGTTATTTACTCCTTCTCATAACACAAGAACTAAGGGTCATCCAATGAAATTAATGGCAGCAGATTTAAAACAAACAAAAGGAAGTATTTCTTCACACAATGCACAAACAATCTATGGAACTCATTGCCAGGGGATGTTGTGAAGGCCAAAACTATAACAGGGTTCAAAAAAGAACTAGATAAATTCATGAACGATAGGTCCATCAATGGCTATTAGTCAGGATGGGCAGGGATGGTGTCCCTAGCCTCTGTTTGCCAGAAGCTGGGAATGGGCGACAGGGGATGGATCACTTGATGGTTACCTGTTCTGTTCATTCCCTCTGGGGCACCTGGCATTGGCCACTGTTGGAAGACAGGATACTGGGCTAGATGAACCATTGGTCTGACTCTGTATGGCCGTTCTTATGTTCACATTCTCAGCAGCTGCTGACTGATTCCTGCTAACTGGTTTTGGCACCTGTGGAGTGGGATAGGAAATTAGGAGCTGAGGTAAAAAGGTCCTTCAGGAAGAGCCTTAGAGCCAACCAAACCTGGGGAGAAGGCTTGGGTTGTCATATTGTCAATGACAAAGGCTATGGAAGCGTAGATAGAAGAGTAACTTGTATTCTAGCTGCGTTGGCGATAGAGAGACGGAGAGAAGTGAAGTGAATACATACTAGCTGAAGTTGGAGAAGAGGATGTCTCCAAGGACTGGGAATGAGATGCAAACACTTTCACTTCTAGATTACTAGCTCAGATGGGAGGCGAGCTCTGCCCAGCTCCTAGCAGCCAGGAACCACATCCCACAAACCACCTCCCTAATTGGCTTTAAATCAGCTGCCTTGGCTGGCAGCCTCAGCTCAGAAACTATGATGGGTCACAAAAACTTACTTCCCCTCGCCGCCTATGTGTGATCACTCCAGGGTTGAGATAAACTTCACTTCTGGATACCTCTGCTGTCTAGACAAATTCCATCTCCGGCAGCCAATCCTTCATCAACACCGAATTAACTTCTAAAACCTGCTTCAGTTACACTGAAGCTTAACTGAGCTTGCTTTGGGTTTGAAGAGTGCCTCAAAGAAGGGCAGAGTTGCAACCATTGATTTTAACGTAGGAGTGACAGTACAACTTGGCCCACTTTAGCTCACTGATATGGAGTTTTCCTCCAGCACCATCTCAAATACAAAATTAATATACCAGACAAGCACATCTTTCACTGAAGACAAAGTGAATTGTATGAATGTGTCTGGCAGCAGAATTTGGTTCCATATGTTCGACAATATCTCCCTTACATGTGTCACTAAGAGCTGATGGAGTATTATGAGTAATACTGTTTGTTATGGATTTAGCTGCTCTTTAAATTAGCAAATTGTTTGGAACCCAAATTTGATTGCCTATGAATGTATTCATTATTCACATTTGCTGAACAGTTTCGACAGATACATTTTCAGACCAGAGGCTCTTTATCAACAGTTTACTTTGACTATTTGCACCTTTTGTTCCATGATCTTAAAGTGCCTTACAAACAATTAAGTCTCACACTGCCCCTGTGGAGCGACACGGCCTGCAATTTAATGATGGGTAACTGACCTGAATAAGTTAAATGATTCACCCAGGGTCACACAGGAAATCAGTGGCAGAGTTGGTAATGGAACAGTGGAGTCCTGATCATTAGTTTTGTAAAACCATGGACAGTTTGGGGAAGCACCAACTGACCGGGGCAAAAGCAAATGCAGTATCGGTTTCCAAAAATCAAAGCGTGACCCTGGCAGTTACTGACCAGTCAGACCACATGCATCTTGTTAGTGTACTGGGGAAATAATCTGGTTGCTTAAGAGGTTTTGCCGCTCTGGTGACTCAGCAATGGGAGAATTTCTCTTTCTAACAGACCGGGAGTGATCTCTTCAATGAGCGACTTGTCTTTGTTTCTCTGTTCCCTAGGTCTTGCAACTGCCACCATGGGGGCTCTGCTGTGGGATCTCTTGCTGCTGTGTTTGTTTGCCCACGTGCTCGGCGACTGTCAGAGGGACTGCCTGAGCTGCAACAGACACTTGTACAACCAACAGGACAACTTCAACGTTCTCGTAAGTCAGTCAAGGCCATAGCCTCACTCACTCTCCAGCGATTGACGTGCAGATGTCCCAGGTGCATCAGTAAGGCTGCCCTGTCCCGGCATCACCAGCATTAGGAAGAGATAACATAGGCAATCACCTAGAGCCACATCAGGAAGTGGGGGGCAGTAGAATTGGTAAAGTGCTTCACTGGACTAAATGAGCCCTTCTATCCCTCTTTGTTTGTTTGAAATATACCAGGGTCATCTTGTACCCCACAGTGAGATCCCCACCTGCACCCATCCACTCCAGAATCCTTTATTCCTTTGCATTAGCAACCAGGGCAGCCCCATGCAAAGGATTCCCAGGTGCATTTGGAAGTAAGGGGGGAGATCAGATCCGTCCATCACCTAGGGCTTCCAGTGACAGACCTGGGGGCTGCTTTGCAGGAGAGCTATATTATCTATGAATGTGTCAGACATCCAGCCATATCTTTATGGTTGCAGATTAAGATAATCAATGGCTAGTGCAGGGGTGGCCAGCCTGGGGCTTCGGAGCCACATGCGGCTCTTCAGAAGTTAATATGCGGCTCCTTGTATAGGCACCGACTCCGGGGCTGGAGCTACAGGCGCCAACTTTCCAATGTGCCGGGGGGTGCTCACTGCTCCACCCCTGGCTCTGCCACAGGGCCTGCCCCCACTCCACCCCTTCCTGCCCCCTCCCCTAAGCCTGCCATGCCCTTGCTCCTCCCCCTCTCCCCCCAGAGCCTCCTGCATGCCACGAAACAGCTGATCGGGAGGTGCAGGGAGGGAGGGGGAGGCGCTGATTGGCAGGGCTGCCGGTGGGCGGGAGGCGCTGGGAGCAGGGGGAGCTGATGGGGGGGCTGATGACGTATTACTGTGGCTCTTTAACAATGTACATTGGTAAATTCTGGCTCCTTCCCTGGGCTAGAGGGACAGTCAAGTAAATACAAAGCACAGAACCAAGGGGCCTGATTCTGAGCTAGCTTTCCCTGGTGTAAATCAGGAGTAATCCCACTGAAGTTAATGGAGTTACACCAGTGTAAAACTAGAATAGCGCCGTAGTGAATCAGGTCCACCCTCCTCGTCTCTGAATTGGTTAGGAGCCCTGGGAGGCACGTCATAAAGCTGGAATACTCTGTGGGACCCGTCTGTTTGGCACAGCATACCTATTACATAGCACCGTGTGCAGCTATTGTATTATACGCATGGCTAGCAAGGGTAAAGGCCTCCATTTTAGGAGCAGCAGGTCACAAGTTCTCACCCCGCTGTCACCTGTGTGCAGGTCAGTTAGACACTGAGAGGTCTTATTTCCAGCAACAATCCTAGAATTTCCCAGTTCGATTCCACTAGGACACTTGCGACACTACAGCAATGAGTGCATCACAAATAACGCAGAAAGACAGGCCGGCTGGGGCTGTGGACACACAAGTGGGCAGTTTCAATCCGATATGTTGAGGGCCCCCATGGTAATCAGAAAGCTGAGATCTTGGTGTTGTCCGCTTCCCACTCCCCAAAATAGGGTTGCCAGGTGTCTGGTTTTCGACCGGAGAGTCCAGTCGAAAAGGGAACCTGGCCAGGTCCGGTCAGCACTGCTGACCAGACACTAAAAGTTTGACTGGCTACAGTAACTGGCCTCTGCCACCAGGGGGCAGGAAGAGCAGCAGCTGCTGCTGGAGCCTGGAGGAGCACTCAGGAAAGGCTCAGGTGGAGAGAGATACTGGTGGCTCCCACGTCCTGCCCCAAGCACGGCTCTGCCTGCCCCACTCACCCCCACCCCAACCCCCAGAGCCCGGCTCTCCCTCCCCTGTCTTGTCCC